TTAATCTCAGTAAGTCTTCTCTCCTGGTTAAATAAAGGGAATTCATTCATTAAAATAAATAAAAAAGTTCCCATGAAAATGTTATTTCTGTTTTAAAAATGTTTTGTTATGTGAACATTAAAGAAACATTCCTTTTCATCATTCTTCAAACAATATGGGAACGTTACTTTTTTAATGTTCTGAAACAAGCCGTTATTAAGCCATTTAAAAAATGTCTGAAACATTCCATGAATGATTAATAATTCATGTTTTTGTGCTAACGTTTAGAGAACATTATTAAAGACCAGAAGACTCTGAATAGACATTATATGAAGAACGTTTGCTCATAACTTTGAGAGAAGCTTGCCAGAACGTTCGCTGTTAGCAGGAATTATATTTCATTTAGTATTAATATTTAGTCTCTCATAACTAACTTAAGTTAAATTAATTAATAAAGCGCTTTAAAAACTAGTACACCAAAGAATCTGGGATTAACACTCACCAAACGCAAGTGAAAAATGGTTTTGGTGAGTGAATAAAACTTTACTTTCACATGGATTAAATACAACTGTATGAAAGAGCATCATCTCCACCAAACACACATATATTTTGATATATATTATTGATATTTTGACACTGACTGACACTAAACACTTTACGGTAAAGTCTCATTTATCAGCACGAGTTAATGTGTTTGCTAACATGAACTTAAAACGAGCGTTATATTGTTGTAGCATTCGTAAATGTTAACGGTAGTTAATAAAATACTGTGAAAAATTCATTGACTCATTAACGTTTTGATTTAAAAAATGTACTAATTAAAATTTGGCACCCTTTTATCTGTTGTCTTGATGGACACCGTGTGGATTAATGCATCATTTTGTCAACGTTTTAACTTTCCTTCATCATACCTCTTCACGTCAATGTCAACAGGTCGGGTTTGTTTATATTTTTAATAATTATTATTTTATTATTTTTAAATTGTCTTTCAATAACTTGACAAAAATAAAAATGTACAAATTAACATCAACCATAATTAACCAAGACCTTTTAATGTTAGTTTGTGTTAGCTAACGTACTGTAGCTGATCAACCTAAATTGTTACATCTAAGTAATTCTATTTCTATAAGGACAAAATGTGCTGATAGCAAAAATACAATTTCATAAACAATATTTGTTCCTGGTAAAAAAAAAAAAAAAATCTGTTTAATTCACTGACGTGTAGCAAAGATGTTTGTTTGGACCTTTAAAAATCAGACAAAATCTAAAGAAAATTATAATAATAATAGAATTCTTCATAAAATAATTCTGATGCTAGAAATGAATGCATTTCAGTGACTATGTTAACAAAACCAGAAGTAGAGAACGAATGATTAATGAATGATTGCTATTAGATAAATAGGACTTATATTCATTATAGAGTTGTGTGGGGTTTTTTGTAACATTTTTGTTTATTTTAGAATTGTTTTTGTATTGTTTGTCGAGACTTTGTGTAAAGACAATTCTCCACCCTGTAAGGACAGACAACCTGAAAAAACCTGAAAAAATGTATTTCGGTGACTATGTTAACAAAACCATGAAGTAAAGAATTAATAATTAATGAATGATTGCTATTAGATAAATAGGACTTTAAGACGCATTCTATAGAGTTGTGTGGGTTTTATGTCACATTTCTGTTTTTTTTTTTTTTTACTAATTAACCTAAATTGTTCAAATCTGAATAATTCTATTTCCATAAGGACAAAATGTGCTATTAGCAAAAATATGGTTTCATAGACTGTAAACAATATTAATCAATGGTACATTTTTCAGTTTAATTCACTGACGTGTAGCAAAGATGGTTTTTTGGACCTTTAAAAATCAGATAAAACCTAAAAAGTAATAATAATCCTGATGCTAGAAATGAATGCATTTCAGTGACTGTGTTAACAAAACCACGAAGTAGAGAATGAATGATTGCTATTAGGTAAATAGGACTTTAAGATGCAGTTGTGTGAGTTTTATGTCACATTTTTGTTTATTTTCCAAATGTTTTTGTCTTGTGTGTCGAGAGTTTGTGTAACGCCAGTTCTCCACCCTGTGAGACCTGAGGTCATAAGTCACACATACTTTGACCTCGGTGGGGCTCTTGACGTCGCCGCCTGGAGATTTGCTGGCCTGTCTCTGGAAGATGGACCTCAGCAACTCTTTCTCGCTCCTCTTCCTTTTCCTCACGGCGTCCAGATCCAGCAGCGCCTCCGCCGGCTCCTTCTTAGCCGCTTTAGAGCTGAAGAGTTTGGACTTTAGCGCGTCGTACGTGGAATCGGTCGCCGGTTTGCCACCGTTCCCCGAGCTCTCTCCGTCCGGCTCCACGGCGTCCTCTCCGGCGCCCTTCTGTAGCAAACTAGTGATTTCAGACAACGGTCTGGGTTCGGGTTTCCTCTTGGTGGCGTTGGAGACGTTCAGCTGCTCCACTCTGGCTTTGTTGACGTGTTGTTTGAGATTGAGCAGAGCTCGGTCTGTGTCGCGCTGTTTGATTTCTGACACCGTTCCCCTCTCGTCTCCGATCGCTCCTTTCTTTAGCACACGCAAACCGCTGAACAAAGCGGGAATCTGGTATTTATCACTGGTTTTGGTGTCCGGTTTGTTGTCCGAAGGGGACGTTCCCGAAACATCTTTTGTCTCAATTTGAAGACTTGAGAATGAGGTCTCGAAATCACCACTTTGAGAATCACCAGTTTTTGAATCTCCAGTTTTTGAATCTCCAGTTTTTGAATCTCCAGTTTTTGAATCTCCAGTTTTTGAATCTCCAGTTTGAGAATCTCCAGTTTTTGAATCTCCAGTTTGAGAATCACCAGTTTTTGAATCTCCGATTTTGGTGTCCGGTTTGTTGTCTGAAGGAGACGTTACCGAAACATCTTTTGTCTCAATCTGAAGACTTGAGAATGAGGTCTCGAAATCACCAGTTTTTGAATCTCCAGTTTTTGAATCACCGATTTTGGTGTCCGATTTGTTGTCCGAACTGGACGTTCCCGAAACGGTCTCTGAAACGCCTTTTGTCTCAACCTGAAGACTTGAGAATGAGGTCTCGAAATCACCAGTTTGAGAATCACCAGTTTTTGAATCACCAGTTTTTGAATCACCAGTTTGAGAATCACCAGTTTGAGAATCACCAGTTTTTGAATCACCAGTTTGAGAATCACCAGTTTGAGAATCACCAGTTTTTGAATCACCGATTTTGGTGTCCGGTTTGTTGTCCGAACTGGACGTTCCCGAAACGGTCTCTGAAACGCCTTTTGTCTCAACCTGAAGACTTGAGAATGAGGTCTCGAAATCTCCAGTTTGTGATTCCGGATCTGTTCCCAAATTCCCTTCTTGTTGATCCTCGACAGAAACGTCCTCAACTTGTGTGCAAAACGGCAGCGATCGCCTCCAGCTGCTCACGTTCGTGCGGGTCGGCGCTTCTTCTCGACCCGTGTGAATGCTCAGCGAACGCATCTCCTTCCAGGATTCGCTCGACACGCGTGACGGAAGATCCAGAGACCGGTTGCGACTCAGAACCGAAGCGTCTCGGAGCGATCTCTCCACGAGGCTCTCGGGTTTCTTCTCCCGTTCCCCGGGGTCACATGACCTTCCCTGGACGCTCTTCGAATCCTCGTCCTCGTCGATGTACGTCTCCACACGGGTCACGCGCACGAGGAACGGATCCGACGATGAACTTTCTGAATCCTGAACGGGAGAGTTGAGGCATCCCAGCAACTTTCCCTCTACAGATTTTGGGATTAAAGGAATGAGACCATTCGGACTTGAATCTTCATCGTGCAAAGTTCGAAACGACGTCAACACAGCCGAAACCTGATCCGACCTGGAAGAAACCCTGCTGGCTGGATCCATATTCCTGTTTACATTGAATGCTATGGAGTGAAATGCAATAACTGCATAAACACGGGCCCGTTCACATCAAACACGATCGTGGTTAAGTTTTAGAAATCATTCTAAATGTATTATCAATATCACAACTATATTTCCCTGCTGATGAATGATCAGAGCCAATCATAATCCAGAGCTCGAGCATTTAAAGTAGATGAGAGAAATACAGCACTTGCTTATAATAAACATAATTATGCTGTGTACACTAAGATAGTAATCTTTATAGCTGTGAACGGGCCTTTAATGCGGGATAAACTCCATCTCTAGTTTTACTTCAACCTGCATGTGCTCTACTTTCAAACAAAAGGTTTTTGTCCGTGAAAATCCCCGGGTTTCTCTCTGTCGCATTTGGAAACACTTCACATGTGTGCCAGCAGTCGTTTAAGATGTTCAGTTCAGCGTTTATAGTGAATCCAGTGATCCAAACACATACACAAGCACAGTGCGTTCCTCGAGTGAGAACAAGAAAACAGAGAGTCTAAAGTTTCTCAGTGTTGTTCTAGTCCAGCAGGAGAAGGGAAACTCACTGTGCCGACGCATACGAAGTCC